GCGGCCATAAGAAAAGAGCTACGCAACGTCCTCAAACTCAAATCCATTCCACTCCGACAACTAGCACGGATCGTGGGTCTTCTATCATCCTCCATCCAGGCCATATTTCTGGGACCACTACACTATCGGGCCATGCAAAGGTTGAAAGCCCGCTTCCTCAGACAGAACCCCACATACAACCAACCGGTTCCCCTGACGGACGAGGTCCGCCAGGAACTAGAGTGGTGGCTCAACTGCATGCAGGCATGGAATGGTCGAGCCATCTTCGGCAGTCACTCGGACTTCATTCTAGAATCGGATGCGAGCCGATGGGGATGGGGCGCCACAGATGGGTCAACATCCACAGTTGGGTTCTGGACGACTCAGGAACTCACCATGCACATCAACTGTCTGGAGCTATTAGCCGGATCCTTCGCCATTCGCAGCCTGGCAAAAGGACAATCCAATTGCTGCATCCTACTGCGGATGGACAACTTTTCTGCAGTACGCTATATCAACCACCTGGGAGGGACTCGCTCCCAAACACTAGCCAATTTGACGAAAGAGATCTTCGACTATTGCCTCCCGCGCAACATCTCGATCAAGGCCGAACATCTACCAGGGGAATCGAACTTCACCGCGGACTGGTACTCACGACACTGGAGAGACGCCAGCGATTGGCAATTGAACACACAGATATTCGCTCACTTGAACGAACGGAGAGGACCATTCACCCTCGACCTCTTCGCGTCATGCGTCATGATTGCGAGAGTACTTCACCACATTCGACAACGAGAAGTGACGCTAACACTATTGACACCATTATGGCAGAGCCAACCCTGGTTTCCCGACCTGCTCAAATTATCGTGCGACGATCCACTCCTCCTACCGAGCGACCCATACCTACTCAGGGATCCACTGGGCAATCCACACCCCATGCTTCTGGACGACCGACTACCTCTGGTAGCCTGGACTCTTTCAGGGGCGCATGGGACACCCACGGGTTATCGGCTACAACTAGGGACCTACTGTGGGATTCATGGGCCCCGGGAACTAGAAGAAGTTACCTATCGACATGGAGAACTTGGTCCAATTGGTGCGTGGGACGGAGTTTGGATCCCTTTACGGCTCCTGTACCCGAGATACTGAATTTCCTCTCGTCCATCTTCGCAGAAGGTAAATCGTATCGCACCATCAACGTCATCAGATCGGCTATATCCGCAGCCCACGTTCCATCCTAAGGGAGAGCGATTGGACAGGATCCTCTGGTTTGCCGACTACTACGGGGGATTAAAATAAGACATCCCCCGACACCAAAATATCAGCATCTCTGGGATGTGGACATGGTACCTAGATTCCTGAAGGAATGGCCCTCAAATGAACATCTACCCTTGAAACAACTGACAGCGAAATTCACCTTCCTACTGAGCCTGGTCTCATTTCGCCGTGTCTCAGATGTTCGGGCGTTTGATGCGGATGCCTTTACTATTGGCCCGGACGGGGTTACATTCCAAATCTCCCGGAGAACCAAGAACGATCGAAGTCAATTTTTTACCCGTTCTTTACATCGGAACCTCAACTATGTTTTGTTAGGGCATTGAGAACATATATGGAGGCAACAGAGACGCTACGCCGACCAAACTCTCGACAACTACTGATATCATACGTTAAACCTCATGGTCCAGTCTCGACCACCACACTATCCAGATGGGTTAGATGGATCCTCACCCTTGCAGGGGTGAAACCGTCCTTCGGAGCGCATTCCGTAAGGGGAGCAGCGGCGGCGTCAGCTTTTTTGGCAGGCGCACCATTGGCAGACATCCTCCAAGCAGCAGACTGGTCTCGCGAATCAACATTCCGGACCTTTTACTTCCGACAAGCTTCTAATGCCGCATTCTCCCTTCTGCCTAAGCGTTAAAAATGCAAAATATGAAGCCTCCTGTCATGTTATAAAATTGAAGATTATGCTAGCGCAGTGTACTGATAATCTTAATTTTAATAATGACAGGAGCCGACTCCTCCCCTTCTTCTTGATGTTCCCACCCAAATGATGAGGTAAGTTAAGATTCATGGGGATAATTGTAGCCATTGTTGCACTTTAGGTTCCAAAGGGTTGTAGGATGGGGAGTGTTGTCGTCTTTATATTGTAGTTTGATTAGACCGATAGTATTCTAGGGATAAGACGTATAGGACTAGCAGAGAGTTTACATATATAATCAGACATTTGTTATCTACGGTGAATTCCGTATCACTGATACTAGTCTCTCTTTCCTTTCAGTTTAACGAGTTTTCTGGAGGATGGGGAGGCCGAAAATCCTTACCGTTTTCAACATTGAATTAAGTTACGTCAAGTTGGATCAGACACGTTTGTCACTTTTCTGACTTGTGATGTTGCATTAATCAAGAGGAATGCCCTGAGGAAAAAAAAAACCAACAAGTAAAAACCTGCCCCACACACTTTAAAGGAGCCCTTACCACCCCCAATACAAGTATTAAACAGCACATAAAATGACTATAAAATGAAATTAAAGAAGCAGTACTCTGACCTGACTTGTGATGGAGCAGCAAAGAAAGAGGAAATGATGGGCTATGCGTGGACTTATATATTCTCTGTTTCATTCTGATTGGTTCTTTCTTTAAGAGTTTTTTTTTCTTTGCTGCTATGAAGCTAGTAAAGAAAGTTAATGCAAAATATTCGCCACCTGTCATTATTAAAATTAAGATTATCAGTACACTGCGCTAGCATAATCTTCAATTATTACAGGTTCTCAAAAACTGCAATGATTTAAATTGCAGGACTAAGTGGGACGGGGACACTGCACTCAGGCCACTTTATTGAGCTGAAGTAGTCTGGATGACCTTTAATAATAATAATTATAATAATTTGTTGTTTTTTTTGCAATATGTAATATGCTATTTATCAAAGTTCACATGATTGTCATACTGTGGTTTGTCTGTTTGTCTATCACCAGTTTATCGGTTTATCAATATATTTATCTGTCATCAGTTTATCCATTTATCTATCTATCCTGGGTATTAAGGTTACTTGCCCCGTAGTCCGAGAGATATAAAACTGTGTAATCAATTCTCAAGATCTCAGGAAAATAGTGTAAGTAGAAAAGAATCATACAGGTATTTAACCCTTAGTGACATACAACGTACAGTGTATGTTGTCACGCATGAGATGACAAATGACATACACTGTACCTTGTCTATCAAAAGTGCTTTTTGAAAAGCAGCCTTGTCATGATTGGCAAGACCGGGCTATTTCTAAGTGTCTCACTACTACTGCAGCAGTCCAGAAATACTGACTGATTGGCCCCCAGGATGCCAAATCGCCCTGGGAGCCTATCATGGTGACAACAAGCTTTAATTGAAATCTTTGCAAAATCACAAAGGAGTTATGGATCCGGTATGATACTTGGTATACTTTTATATAGGTTATATTTTATATTAAAATACAAAATTGAAAACACTTTTTTAAAATAAACTTAATTAGGTTTAGCAATTTTTTGCAAATATCGTATTAGATGTTTGCTTACTTTATAACATACATGGTATTTTTCAACTATGCTTTCTATTTCTAGTATAAAACTGCTTTCTACCTAGTTGAGAATTTGAACACTTACATGTGGTTGTAAATGCTTTAAGTTAATTAATGATCTGCATAATTATGAGAAGTGTGGATTGTATGGTTCTATGGCGTTCTACGTGTAAACCTCCTCAGCTTATTAAAAAACCCATTAAGGACTGAGCCAAATGTACACGTTTTGATCAAAATAAACGTAAACAAAACTTGGAATTTGACTATATGTCTGTTCACCTCTTTCATATTAAGTGCACCCACACTTATTATATATCATTTTATTCAAGAGAAATAGGGTTTTCATTTAACATCAAATATTTAGCTCTAAAACATAATTTAATATGAATAAAATATAAAAAAAGTGAGAAATTAAAACTTTTTTTTAGTTCTGCATGAAATTTTAACTGTCATAATATTAGCTTTTACTGCAATAAAATACACATTTGTATTCAGCGATGTCTCATGTGTAAAACAGTACCCCTATGTACAGATTTTATGGTGTTTTGGGAAGTGAGGGAGTCAAATATAAGGCTTGCATTTCATTTTTTTCACATTGAAATTCGCAATATTGGTTACGTTGCCTTTGAGACCGTATAGTAGCCCAGAAATGAGAATTACCCCCCCATGATGGCATACCATTTGCAATAGTAGACTACCCAAGGTATTGCAGATGGGGTATGTCCAGTCTTTTTTAGTAGCCACTTAGTCACAAACACTCGCCAAAGTTAGCGTTAATACTTGTTTGTGTGTGAAAAATGCAAAAAACTAATTTGAACGCCAATTTTGGCCAGTGTTTGTGACTAACTGGCTACTAAAAAAAGACTTTTTATTTATTTTTAGGTATATAGATATATATATTATTTCGTTCTAAGTGTATTTTTTTTTTTTTGGAATTCTTTATTTTTGAGTGCATGGATATACAAGACAGCTTACCCTGCCACAATAGCGTTCGTAAGCATAAACATATCACAACGATTTTACCGTTCATACTATACCATTGGAGTTTCCCTTGTCTTCTGTTTTCTTCACATATCCATTTTGAAGCTGCGGATATACATCTGGGATTTCACATACCATTTTATGTAGCACTAGGACTACCTCCTGCATATGTGGATTATTTATATTCGGACTTTCTAGGTATCGCTGCTTGGACTCTCTGATACATATTTTTATACACTCATTCTACTTGTCTTAGGCACACCCTTATTTGTGCTTTTCTCTCCATATCACAACGATAGTACAATGATGGCATTTGAGCAGTGCACATTTTTGTATATAATTGTAGAAACAAAACATGAGTCAACATTGCTTGCTCGTTACAGTTAAAGTTACTAGCTTAATCTTCACTAAATCGTCAGCTTGGCTAAATAATAATATCATTAATATAGAGTGAAGAAAAGAAAAAAGGGAACAAATATCAACGCTTAACAGTGCTAGGCTAGATACATTAGTGATGCTAAAACAGTTGTAGTGTGGTAATGCGCTGTGCTGTGTGGTCACAGTTGGCCTGTGTGCGAGGTTTATACAGGGTGTGTTGCTCTAGTGTGGGCTATTTGAAAACTGCGCATTTTAATTATGTTGAGACTCGTTATTCACAATTTTTATGCCGCTGTCACCTGCAGATCGTTCAACATTTTTAACCAGCATTATCCCAATAACATGGGTTAAAGTGTGTATAAAGCATTTGTCGGTAAGGTGCCTAAAGGATATCAATTATAACTTTGCTTATCTGCAGGAGAAGGACAGTCCTTGGCAGTTCAGTGTTAGGCATGTCAGCCATGCAGTGAGATGCAACAGGCGTCCCGGTAAAGCGTAAAGCAGGCGTGGGACACGTGCAGCCAGTTCACTCCCAATCCTTAACCTACGCCAGATCTCGAGGCCTGTCGCCTGGCGGCAAGGTTCTGTTCGGCAATACGGTGTATCCAGCTGTCTCGCGGGAAGCAGGATGTCATGGTGGCAGCGGGGTCGGAGCTCCGATCCAGGGAGGTGGGCCAGGCAGCCGGGGGCATTCCGCGCAAGGAGGTGTACCACAGACCGCGGTACCGAGGTGCAGACAGGTGGATTATATTTCTTGTTAAGCTTGGGGTGCTGCACTGTACTTCTGATCGATGAGGCACTCCAGTCCAAGGTTGCGGGTAGGGTGGCTTCTTAGCCGCCTTGTGTCTGAGTGATGCGCGGCTTCTGACCCTCCGGCGTGCCACCCGCCTCAGAGCCGGGAGAGGTAGCGGTCTGCGATGCTGGGTTAGACGGTGCAGCTGGTCATGTGTGCACCGTTGTTGCGCTGCGGCCATTTTGCACGTGGGTGCTGTGAAGGCCAGGCGCCATGTCTTGCTGCAGTGCTTTGTTGCATTTGCTGTTCCAGTTTGTGCCAGAATGCTTTAAAGATAGCGTCCAAACGTGCCGCATAGTCAGAGCGGTCTGCTTGGCTGTCAGTAGGTTTTTCGGTATTCCCATAGCAGAGGTCCCAGGGGCGCTCCGAGTCTGCTGGGTTTCAAGCTGTGTTGCGGGGGTAATCATCCCCAGCAAGGACCGGGATATCCCCCGCCGGTCCAGAGGGGGGGGCAGCAGGGCTGTGGTGAGTGCTCTCATGTGTGCTTGTCCCGTGCCGGGAGATCGGCCGCCTCCCCCAGGTCCCAGGCTCCACTCATGACTAGGCCGCATGGCCGGTTCCGGCTTTTCTGCTGTGTTTTGGTGCCAGAGAGGTATTATTCTGTTCCTTGTATTCTTTAGTGTCAGTCTCCGGTCACCGTGAGCCGCTGGCCTTGGTAGTTCGGTCTTATTGGCATGCTTGTGCCCTCTGTTACAGGAGCTCTTGGTGTGTGCCGTTCTAAGTGTATTTTGATATCAGTATATATATTAATATCAAACTACAGTAAGAACGAAATTATACATATATATATATTTTTTAATTATTTATTTTTTCTTTCATTTTTAATGTATTTATATATTTATTTTATATTATATATATTTTTTAATATATATATTTAGTTAATATCACTCTACGTGTATTTTGCCATTAATTAATTTATATATATATATATATATATATATTAATATTAAAATACACTTAGACGGTGTATGTGCATGTATGTACTTAGATCATATAAAAAATATATAGGGGGCGTGGCCTGACTGGCGCGGACGGTCGCAAGTGAGTGAAGCTCCGTCCGTTATCAGCCTAAAGCGTTTTTCACAGTGACTTTGACCAGCAATTGAATCCTCAAAAACCACCCTGAGATGGCACAGTACAAGGGGAAAAAAGAATCCCAACAAAGGTGTAAAAACCAGGTTTTTCACGGCCCGCAACCAACCTACGAAACAGCCTAGCACACAGGAGGAAGAACAAGATGGCGACGACATGCTGCCCTTATCAGGATATCCTCCAGGCATGCCTAGAAGAAATGTCTGAAAAGCTCCTCCGCAACTTCAATAGATCAATCTCAGACCTCAGAAAAGATGTGCAGGAGCTGGGGGATCGTACAGCCCGTATGGAGAACTGCATGGGGGAGTACGCCGAAGCGCACAACGACATGGTGGACCACGTCCAGAGACTAGAGCAACAACTGGAGTCCTGCCAAACAAAACTTATGGACCTGGAGGATAGGTCCGGGAGGCAAAACATACGGCTAAGAGGCATTCCGGAGTCAGTGAAACAACCTGATCTCATGGCTTTCCTGATGGGGTATTTTAAAACTTTAGCCCCAGACCTCCCCACGGATACCTTGCTCATGGACAGAGCTCACAGGGTGGCTAAACCTAAATTCCTGCCGGAGGAAGCACCCAGAGATATCCTCACCCACATGCATTATTTTCATGCCAGGGAGGCAATAATGAAGGCATCCAGGCAAAGTAAAGACCTCCCCGACAAGTACCGCTCAGTGCAAGTATTCACGGATCTATCGGCACTCACCTTGCAGAGGAGGAAAGAATACAAAGAGATCACTGATGCACTACGTTCGCAGAATGATGGGGCCACCGAGTTCGCCTGCTCGTCCACAGGAACGGGACCTTACATATCATCGCCTCTTTGGAGGAAGGCCGAAAATCCCTGAAGAGATGGGGTATACCGCTGATACCGCAAGGCAACAATCAACAACCCACAGCCAAACTGCAGCCAGAGTAGAAGAAACCGCAAGCATAAACGGAGAGACCTGCTTCCAAGCTCTGAGAAGCGACTCCCTGAATGGACACGATACCATGAGGAGACACTGAGGCATGAGTTTCTTGAACACCTAATCTGCACTCTGCACATACACATAGCTTAAATTAATAATGCCACACTCCATTAACGTACCAATTACACTCGCACGCTAAGAATGTCATCCATCTTGTGATCCTAATTCCTGCTTACGCGGCTGACTAAAGTACAGCCAAGGAGAAATTTCCTCCTAAATAGCACACCATATCTCCATTGACTCTTAGGGGTAGAACCAGTAGGGTGCACAAGCAATAGCCCCTCCCTTGCCCTTTCCTACAAAACACGTGTAGACAGCTGACTGCTAAGAATGTAGACTACACTCTGAGATAATATATGATATACATTACTCACTTAAAGATTGTATTTCTGCATGTTGAACGTAATGACTTTAGTTCTTAAGACTACTTGTACCGCTGAATGTATTATTGCAATGTTACATAGCGCTTGCACTGTTAGCTACTACTGGAGGTCGGGTGAAGGGGTAGAGGGTGAGCGGGGGGGGACCACCCTAATACAAGACAGGTGTCTGAAACACCACACTTGGGCAGCAAGGGATATCCACCACGCTCTTGTGAAGGATTGGACCCTGCGGGCCTGTAGACAATGGGACTAGCCCGCCATTAGAATGCTGATGAACAACGCCAGGGGGAGGCGGAGGGACGAGGGGACCCCCGGATACACTACCAACACTCCAGCTTGGCTCTACGCTGGTACCCGACGGTGCTCTGAACAATCAGGGAGCTCTGGTACCTTGCGAATCTAACCTAACACCCAACATTAGAAACCCAAGGCCCACTTAGCATCGGCCTATACCTCTCCACAGATGGTAGGGATCGAACTCTGGGCGACACTGGTTAATAAAAGCTCACACCAGACCCTGGTGATAGGTGAGAGACATCTGTAAGGACACAATACAGCCCAAGCAAATCACCTAGAGACAGCAATGGGACTGCAGTAACACTCCCCCCTTCCAGATCAGCCTACAGGCAATACCGACAATTTGTAGGGGACAACTATAAGCCCACCACTTTCCTGACCAACTCACAAAGTATAAAACACCCCCCCAGATATGGGAAGACCCGCACGATATACTTGACAAAAGATACAATAAGAAGTTTAAGAGCACTTAAACAACTAGACGTTGTAATACAAACCATTGAATACCCAACTAGTGAGGCAAGGGGACCGATTATTGCACGACCACCACTAGAGTCGGCTGCTGAGGCAGGATAACGGCTACTAAATAAGGGACAAGAGAACTGTGACACCCGCAACAGAGACACCTATGGCGGGATGGAACATAGGCATATCAGCGCACAAAAAAAAGGGGGGGGGGAAGATACGTTACACCACCAGGGATAGGTCACAGTATAACACAAAGGCTGATAAACAACTCTGACGTATATAACTCAGAGCAAAACCACGCTCCGCCATGATACCTGGGACCAGGTATACCACCCACAGTTGGGCTATAGTAGTGTTAACTACATTCACCATACTACTACAATATAGCTCATCCCACAACCCACCCACCACACCCCCCCCTCCAAACTGTGGATCTGATATTATGTCGCATAAATGAGATCTGGCGCCCCCACCTAACGTAAAAAACCCGCTAAACACTATGCCCATAAATGGGGCGACAGCCCTATGGCGCCCTCAGATATACATATCAAACAAGTCTGGAGGGATGATTAGTCTAGCGCAAGCCACACGAGGAAGCAATTATAAAGTGATTGACTTTGACGCACAAGCACAAGCTTATACAGACAACCACAAAACAATCAACAAACAAACAATATGAAAATACAATGTCATAATGTCCGGGGATTGAACACCCCGCTTAAACGAAACTGCCTATTCCGAGACCTTAAACGCACACAGCCTGATATAATTTGCCTCCAAGAGACACACTTCAAAACAACACCCATGCTACAACCGTCCAGGTACCCGCACCAATTCCACGCCACATCGGAGAAAAAGAACAAGGGAGTGTCAATCCTGATCAGCAACAGGGTATCATTCCAACACTATATATCCCACACCGACCCTGAGGGTAGATACATAACAATAATTTGCACAATTAGCCAAATATACACTAGCCAACGTATACGCTCCCAACGCGAACCAAAGGAACTTTTTACATAAAATTCTTGCCCTGATCTCGCCGGTCCAGGAGGGGATGCTTATCCTATGCGGTGACTTTAATCACATACTAGACCCTACATGTGACACTATAACTCAGGAACCTCAAAATACACAAGACCACCTGCGGAAAGCATGCAATACATACAACAGACTACTACACAACCACCGACTTTACGACGTGTGGAGGATGCTACACCCACAAGAAAAGAACTACACTTTTTTTTCCTCCCCAGACAACACATACAGCAGAATAAATAGATTCCATGTAGAGGGACAACACCTAAACCAGATTATAGACTGCACCATTGGCCAACTCACTTGGTCGGACCGTGCACCCGTGACACTGACCATTAAAGATATCTACGATTACAAACACAAGAGCCCCTGGAGGCTGAATGAGTCTCTCTTGTCTGACCCCACGTTCAGTGACGAACTCAATGAAGCTATTGGTGAATTTTTTGCACTTAACAAATCGGACGACACTTTCGCAAGCAATACCTGGCAGGCACATAAATCAGTTATTCAGTTCCTCCTCATAAGACGGGCATCACAACAAAAATTTTACACCCAGGCTGAATGGTTAGCCTGGCATAAGAGCTTGGTAGACCTCACAATGTTAAACAAATCACAACCAGAAGAAGACGTACATAAAGAAATTAATGATATCACGCACAAAATCGCGACACACACACTACAGAAAGTGGGCTACAATCTCCGCAAATAGAAGGCCACCCAATACCTACAAGGCAATAGAGCAGGCAAACAATAGGCAACAAGGCTAAAACAAAAAGAAGTAAACACTAAAATTCCATACATCTACAACTCAAACAATGAAAAAGTGATCTCACCCATAGACATTAGTAATGCTTTCGCAGATTACTACGACCAATTATACAATCTCGCACGACAAGGCCAAGTCCACACACCAACCCCACAGGAATTGAGGGAATATCTTGAAGACATAGCCTTACTGGTCCTTACTACAGAACAAAACGAATCCCTCGCGACCCCAATCACAACCACTGAAGTGGAGGAGGCGATACAATCCCTCCCGTTACACAAAGCACCCGGCCCAGATGGGTTCACCAATTTATACTACAAAAAATTCAAGACGATACTGTCCCCACACCTGACAGCTATGTTTAACTCAGCAACCCAAGAGAAAACCTTGCCTGAGGAGCTCTTATTAGCACACATCACTACAATATGCCAGACGCCTCAGTACCATACTGCCATATCTGATCCATGATGATCAAGTAGGATTTGTGGTGAAGTGGCAAGGAGCAGACCACAGCAGGAAAGCCCTGGACCTGTGACACAGTGTCAGAAGGATGGGAGTCGGGGGTCTTCTGGTGTCACTAGACGCGGAGAGGGCCTTCAAAAGGCTTAATTGGGAGTTTCTCAAGGCAGTTCTGGAGAGGTTTCAGTTTCCAACCCAATTCCTAACAGTAGTACAAACCCTATATAGCCACCCGTCAGCATGTGTAACGTATGCGGGTTTCTGCTCCACTAGATTCAAGATAGCCAATGGCTCCCGCCAGGGATGTCCCATCTCCCCACTCCTTTATGCCTTGGCACTAGAACCCTTGGCAGCCAGAATAAGGACAAAATCGTCCATTAATGGAGTGCAGTTTGGACAGAGAGAATATAAACTGAGTCTATGTTTTCCTGACCTTAACACAACCGCACATATACCTCCCCAACCTTATGAAACACATCACACAATATGGGAAACTTTCGCACTACAAGCTCAACGTCACCAAAACACAAGCAATGGGGATTAACATACCCAAGACCCAATTAGAGGGACTTAAAGGGGCGTTGGACTGGCGAGAAGATCATTTAACCTTCCTGGGCATAAAGATAACTAAAAACCCAACCAAACTATTCAAAACTAACTACGCAGAAATGACCAATGTATTTAGAACCACCCTAATGTCGTGGGAGGGGAAGTACCTGTCTTGGGTGGGCCGTATAGCGGCCATAAAAATGTCCCTGCTGCCCAAATTACAATATCTCTTTCAGACGCTACCAATCCCCCTGCTGAAAGAGTTTCTAAAGACATTACTAAAGTTAATAGTAAAGTTTACATGGCAGAACAAAAAAGCGAGAGTCGCAACTAAGGTCAGACAAAGGGAGGACTGCCAGATTTAGTTTCCTATCAGAAAGCTGCGGCCCTAGCCATAATTCCACAATTCAAATCACGGCCTGACTCGCCGCAATGGCTAGCCATTGAGAATCATTCGGCAAAACCACTGACACTACATACTATACTATGGATACCGGGAAAGAACAGGCCCGACATGACCCACCTCTTACCCATGACGGCATGCACTCTACATAACTGGGATCTTGCTGAGAGACACCTAGTTAATTACTATTCCGGTGCCGCTAGCAACCCCGATAGACTCACAGGCAATCATGATCCCAACAGACAAAAGGCCATGGATACAGAGAGGCATTTATGAAGTGGCACAAATGTACAAAAATGGAAGTGTCATGCCCTTCCCAGACTTGCAAGTTGAGTATGACCTCCCTCCGAATCTACTATTTCCTTACCTACAGATAAAATCATACCTATCCAAGAACAAACCTAGTAAACACAACACCACATAGGCAGAACCCATGTTGAGCTTTGAACTGATGTGTATACACAAAAAAACACTCAAGAAACTGATATCACTAGGCTATCATCTACTCCAACAGATGTTAGACATGACAAAAGACACACACATAACGTCATGGCAGCTCAAACTGGGTAGAACAATACCCGCGGAGAGCTGGGACAAGGCGTACACATCCCATAAAGGGGCAACCTCTTGCGCTACGCACTTGGAGCTTCAACGTAAGCTGCTCTACCGCTGGTACTTGGTACCAGCCAGGATACACAATATCTGGCCCCAGTACACAGACAAATGCTGGAGATGTGAGACCCAGACAGGCACAATGACCCACATATGGTGCACATGCAAAATACTCAAACCTTTCTGGCATGAGGTAGAGAACATATTATCAAGCGTAGTGAAAACAAGAGTCACACTAAACCTAGAACAATGCATCCTCTTCATACCACCTGAAAGTGCCACTAAAGCCGACTGGGCGGCCCTATACCAGATCTTAATCTCAGATGCCTTAGTAATAGCTAGACTATGGAAAAAACCAGAGACACCCACCCGGGAGCATCTTCTAAAACAGGTGACACTTAACTGGTCATATGAAAAAATGTTCGCCTACTCAATTTGGTAGGAAGAAACACATGAACACAGCATACGACATGTGGCCAGAATACCAGATGAGGGCAGAAACCCCATGAGTTCAGGGAGAGCAACAAGTCTACATGAAAACACACATCTTACAGGTATGATACTGCAGACAAGCACACCCAGCCACAAACACTTCCAGACATAAATACACTAGCAAAGGACAAGGAGGGACGCTGGACAATAGCTAGGGCACAGGTAAAGCGACAAACAGACAAATCAAAAGAACAGAAACAACCCCATGCTACTACCAGAAAAGTTATCGGATCCACCCCTTCTCTTATACCCACCTATACTTCTCCCCTAACCTGCACACACACCACGCTTCAGGTTCTTTTACTGTAACAAAAGTTTGGTTTAATAGCTAAGTTCAATGGCCTGGGAGCCAAAAGCTACATAGGTTTGAAGGTTCCAAAGGGAATGTAAATGACGTACCGCAACCTGTACTGGAACTGCTACAAATGGAACACTGTTACCTAAGATATTGAATAACCAGCATGTATGCCATGTTTATATTGATGTTAAATATTGATGTTTAACCAAACAATAAAAATTGTCAATTAAAAAATAAAATAAAAACAAATAATATATATATATATATATATATATATATGATCTAAGTATATATTATTTTACACTTTTTTAAACCTTTATTGAACTTTATTACAGGCCGCAGGGGACTACCTGTCATTCCAGGCACTGTTTAATAAATCCCTTAGATAAACATAGAAATAGTGCTCTGGAAAATGAAAATGATCAGAAAGACTA